ACCCACACCATGGGTCATTACCACCCACACCATGGGTCATTATCACCCACACCATGGGTCATTACCACCCACACCATGGTCATTACCACCCACACCATGGGGTCATTATCACCCACACCATGGGGTCATTACCACCCACACCATGGGTCATTACCACCCACACCATGGGTCATTATCACCCACACCATGGGTCATTACCACCCACACCATGGGGTCATTATCACCCACACCATGGGGTCATTACCACCCACACCATGGGTCATTACCACCCACACCATGGGTCATTACCACCCACACCATGGGGTCATTATCACCCACACCATGGGGTCATTACCACCCACACCATGGGTCATTACCACCCACACCATGAATCATTACCACCCACACCATGGGTCATTACCACCCACACCATGGGGTCATCACCCACACCATGGGTCATTATCACCCACACCATGGGGTCATTATCACCCACGCCATGAATCATTATCACCCACACCATGGGTCATTACCACCCACACCATGAATCATTACCACCCACACCATGGGTCATTACCACCCACACCATGGGGTCATTATCACCCACACCATGTGTCATTACCACCCACACCATGGGGTCATTATCACCCACACCATGGGTCATTACCACCCACACCATGGGTCATTACCACCCACACCATGGGGTCATTATCACCCACACCATGGGTCGTTATCACCCACACCATGGGTCGTTATCACCCACACCATGGGTCATTACCACCCACACCATGGGTCATTATCACCCACACCATGGATCATTACTACCCATACTATGGGTCAATACCACTTTGTTTAGGGTTATACTAGTTAATTTACACATATTCAGGAAGGATACACAAATAACCCGCACATAAAAGAGAGAGAAGCTTACGACGACGTTTCAGTGTGACTTTGTCAATGGTCCAAGTCGGACCGAAACGTCGTTGTAAGCTTCTCTCTTTTATAAGAACATAAGAACGATGGAACACTGCAGAAGGCCTACTGGCCCATGCGAGGCAGGTCCAAGTCTCCTACCGGCTTAAGCCAATGCACCCAACCTAGTCAGGTCAGGTCACATTGACTTAAGGGAGGAACACGGCAACCGACCTGTGCGGGTTATTTGTGTATCGTTCCAATCACGGTATTTTGCCTTTTTTTGTTATTCAGGAAGGAATAAGGAAAACACTGGTTTGGTAAGAGTTGTGGATGAGTGGAACAAACTCCCAAGTACTGTCATAGAAGCTAAAACTTTGTGTAGCTTTAAAAATGTTAGATAAATACACTAGTTGGTGTGAAAATATCTATCTGCTGAAAATATCTAGCCTAGACAGGACTCGCAGCAATGGTTTTAAGTTGGAAAAATTCAGATTCAGGAAGGATATAGGAAATTACTGGTTTGGTAATAGAGTTGTGGATGAGTGGAACAAACTCCCAAGTACAGTTATAGAGGCCAGAACACAGTAAAAATTTCATTGGTATTGGGGAAAAAAAATAATTACCTAGCTTGCTACTCCGTTAACTTGCCACTCTTTGTGTAGCTTTAAAAATAGGTTGGATAAATACATGAGTGGATGTGGGTGGGTGTGAGTTGGACCTGATAGCTTGTGCTACCAGGTCGGTTGCCGTGTTCCTCCCTTAAGTCAATGTGACCTGACCTGACTAGGTTGGGTGCATTGGCTTAAGCCGGTAGGAGACTTGGACCTGCCTCGCATGGGCCAGTAGGCCTGTTGCAGTGTTCCTTCGTTCTTATGTGTGAGTTGGACCTGACTAGATTGTGCTAATATGTCTGATGCAGTGCTCCTTACTTAGTGGATGTGACCTGGATCTGACTAGGTTTGGTCAGTGGCTTAAGGCGGTAAGTGACTCAGACCTGCCTCATATGGGCCAGTAGGCCTGCTGCCTAAAAGGCACTTCCTGTGATTGTATTTGCTTTGACCTCTTTTCTGCATCATTGCAAACTCCTGATGTATTGATCACAACATGAAAGGCCTAGTTATCATTCAACTCCCTCTTTGGTTGTTTTGCATGTGTTATTATGTATGATAAATGTAATCACCGAAATTTACCCAACTTATTTACCATACAGCCTTAATGACCCATGTGCACTTGGTAGGCTTTAAATCCCATTAACTTACCAAGTGTATTGAAAAGGTATGGGAGTGACTGTGTTGACACACCATGGATTTAATAACCCCACCTGTACTTATAAGAACATAAGAAAGAAGGGACACTGTAGCAGGCCTACTGGCCCATGTGAAGCAGGTCTAAGTCACCCACCGGCCCAGGCCTAGTAGGTTAGGTCACATCTCCTTAAGGAAGGAGCACGGTATCACACCCATCAGCACAAGCTAGTCAGGTCCAACTCACACCCACTCACATATTTATCTAACCTATATTTAAAAGTACGTAAGTAAGTAAGTACACAACGTTCTAGCTTCTATGACAGTATTTTGGAGTTTGTTCCACTAATCCACGTAAACTCCACAACTCTATTACCAAACTGGTGCTTTCCGATATCCTTCCTGAATCTGAATTTTTCCAACTTGAAACCACTGATGCGAGTTCTGTCTTGGCTAGATATTTTTAGCACGTTATTTACATCCCCTTAGTTAGTGTGTCTTATGTTCTGGCACCCTCCCTACCATCGTACTGTGCACCTGCAGTGCCAGTGACCCGCCTAGAGTAGTGCCTCCTTTCCCCATGGACACACCCCTTCACCCATTAACCTGTATGACCCATGCAAATTTTGCATATTTTTATAATATAATAATAATAATAATAATATAATAATAATAAATAATAATAATAATAATAATAAACTCATATAACAAGGCCTCTATTTCATTTGCAGTTGCCTTCAGTTTTGCTTCTTTACTTTACATATACAGTATTATGATATAAGAACATAAGAAAGGAGAAACCATACCATGGACGGGGATAGAACCCGCGATCAGTCTCAAAACTCCAGACCATCGCGTTAGCCACTGGGCCAGCTAGCCACAATAGTGTTATTACGATTTCGTGAGTCATGTTGACGGCTTCGAGGGGACTTGAGCTAGAGTTCGTCACAGCCACGCTAGCTGGAGATTTGTCTGTAAAAACTTGCATTTGTGGTCACAGTGGTGCCTATCCTAACCTTCCTATGGTGTAGAAATATCCCTAGTTGGATGAATCTTATTGTGGCTAGCTGGTCCAGTGGCTAACGCGGCAGTCTGGAGTTTTGAGACTCTCTGATCGCAGGTTCTATCCCCGTCCGTGGTATGGTTTGTTTGCAATTGTGTCATTACGATTTCGTGAGTCATAAGAAAGGAGCACTGCAACAGGCCTATTGGCCCAAGCTAGTCAGGTCCAAGTCACATGCACTTAAGGAAGGTGCACTGCATCAGACCTAGTAGCACAAGCTAATCAGGTCCAACCCATGCATTTGTCTAACCTGTTTTTAAAGCTACATATTACTATATTATTATTATTATTATTATTATTATTATAATCATAACCAAGTGCTAAACCCATAAGGGTCATGTAGAAATATAGAGCAAGAAAGATAGTACAGATTATAATAATCATATTAAGCACTAAACCCACAAGGTCACAAAAGAAGGTACAGGAATTTGCATTAGTCAGTCACGGGCAGCTCCAGAAAGTGTTAAAGTGGAGGGGCTTATGGGTGGTAATCTGGTTGGCATGGGAAGGGGGGGACTTATATCCAACCCACTACCAAAATATCTGCCCAACCTATTTTAATGCTACCCAAGCAATAAGCTTTAATAACCTTTTTAACTCAAGTATAAGTCACTTTTACTATCAATGTATTACTACTACTACAATGATTATTTTGTGCCTTGCACCTCACTCTAAGCATATATATACCCTGTGTGTCCATGTATTGTTTGTATGAGACAGGTCATCGCAAGATTAGACCCATGCCAGGACCCCAGTCCTGGCAAACATTATACATTCATCACAAACATTATACAGTATACATGTACATACATGTATTCTTTGTAACAGCTTGATAAAGCTACTTGAGCGCGAAACGTTGTCACAAAAAAATGTCACATTAGTTGCACTTGTGTCCTTTTACCTAACATACTGTTGGTAATTATACCAACATTATTACAAGTAGCATTATTGTTACTATTGTTATTTGAGCAGCTTTGAGGGTGCAGATGGAATTTTAGGGAGGACTTCAGCCCCATTGGTTCTATTGCTGATTACTCTATCATAATTATGGTTGTCCCATTCTTAGGGAGTCATTTATTTCGTGGGAGCACAAAATCCGGGGGGCCATACATTATTATAATAAAAAAGAAGCGCTAAACCACAAGGGCTATGAGGGGCTATACAGAAGTCAGGAATGGATGGCAGATTCAGTCCATGGAGAGGGAGTGTAGCTCCATTTTGGGGGATCAAGAACTCAACAGTATTACAGTACCACCTTAAAGGGTCATATTATTATTCATGGGGAAGGGAAGCACTAAACCTGTAGGGGTCATACAGTGACTCTGGGGATGTGAGGCACTCATGTTTGGTCAAAGGGAGGGAATATCTGGCTCAATAGTATCTTGGATTAAGTCACCTACAGGCAATATGACCGACCTTTAATGGGTAGGGGTCATGGTGCCTGGTGAATACAACCTGGAACCCTGAATAGGTGCTAATGTAATCAGAAATGGAAGGGTAACTCCAATTCCTTGCATTCCCCAGTACTACTAATGAACCCATTGAAGTAATATTCACGGGGAAAGCACTAAACCCGTAAGACTTATACAGCACCTGCAGAACTCGAGGAACTCAGGACTGATCTGAGGAAAGGGTCAATTTCTTAGATAAAGAAACCTTCACCAGCAACAAGAGAATACCAGAAGTCAGTTCTAATTTGTTTTTCCCAAAATGAAGAATATAATTATTTTTTTTGGATTGTATATCTAATTGCAAAAAAAAAAAAAAAAAAAAAAAAAAACATATATATAAAAAATCACAACACAGAAAATATAATTTATTTAATAATACAGTAATTATTTACAGTATTATAGAGCATTACTGCTAACATTTCTCATCAAAGATATTCCTCATATCCCTTTGCTGCCTTTTTCTTTCTTAAAAAATCTCACACTATAGCTTTCCCCTGTACAAGTTTCCAGATTAGTTTTCATAACATATCCTACAAGAAGTTTTTTTTTTTAAATCTATCTATTAGTATAATCATGGAGAAAGACTAAACCTGTAGGGGTCATAGTACACCTGGGAAATATAGAAAGTAAAGGGGTTTGATCTAAGGGGATTATGATTACATGCATGGGATAAGTGTTGAACTGATAGGGGTCTACAACATTTAGGGAAATGGGAGACAATCAGGCTTGATTCCAGGGAGGATAAGCAAAAATTTTTAATCAAACCCTTCACTGGCATAAAGGTATCTCTCTCAATGGGTAAGGAAGGAAGGTTGCTCTAATTCTTTGGATCAAGTCTTTCACTGGTATTAGATCAGCCCACCTTTTAAGGGTTTCTAAATTCAGATACTGTAAAAAATAAGCATTCTGCCCAACAGTTTTTTACCAGTGTGATTGCAGCAACTTACAGGTGCTGTACAGTAGCTAAACTTCAGAAGTTTGCTCATATGAAGTTAGTTTGATATTTAGCATTTTGTTAATTTGTGGTTTATTATTATTATTCTGTAATGCCCTTTCAGTGTTTTTCTTTTTCCAACACTTGTCAGTGTGTTGTAAGAGCTTGTGGTGCTTCAGCTTTGTGTGTTTAGCTTTTCATATACCATTATTGGTACATGAACGTTCAAGATGTAGTATGTGCTACATGTTTGTAGCACATACTACGTCTTGTTTTCTTCCTATTCACCAAAGATGGCATTTATAGCTTGTAGTCTATCTTTATACATGTAATGCCAAAGATAGCATTTTTTTTTTTTTAGCTTTGAGTATGTCTTCATAATTCATCTCTATTAGCTTAAGGGGCAGATACCATACTGTAACTGCATACATACTACTACAATTTTGATCTAATGCCTGTTGCTAATGATATATCTGTGTTGACATTCATAAGCATGCAAATGTGACTATGCTGCTAAACTTCAGAACTTCTCCAAAGATGACAGTAATACAAGATAACAATGTCACTTAGTAAACAGTACTGACTTAACTTTATCTGTTTAACTACTACTGACACACTGCAAACATTGCTCTCACTGGGAAGAAATAATGTATTATATGCAAAGTAGCATTGACATTAATGGCCTCTTTCTCAAGTATTAAACATTGTCTTTGATTAACAGCTAACTTAATATTTCTATGTTATTTACACCAAATTCATAATATTATAAATTATGTTACACAATAACTAAAAAAGGAAAACATTGCATATTATAATTACATATACATACAACAGATATGTTAAACCTGTAAGGGTCATACAGTACCTAGGAATTGAAGGTCCCATAATCTGGTTTGGCCCAAGGAAGGGAAGGTACCTCCAATTCCTGGAATAAAGAGCCCTTTATGGCATCAAGGCACCCCCATCCTCCTTAGAGTTATGCACAACAAGATGTGATCAGCTTTGAAAGATGCCAAATCATGACTTTGAATCATATTTTAGTAATGAATTAACAAAAAATTATGAAAGCAGAACAAAGTACAGTATTATAAAAATGTTGATAACTAGCTATGTACTATATTTTAATAAACATGTATTATTTATACAGAACAACTTGCAAAATGTAATCTATAGAACAGAGGCAAATTATATACATACTTGAGGCCATTCCAAAACTCTGTTAACAGTACTATATCTATTACAAGTCAAGTGAAAAAACATATAACTGATACCAATACCAATTCTTGAAGTTGTTCATTATACACATATATATATATCATGCTCCTGGCTTGAAATAAGGCCTTTTTGGGTTCTCTATTATTTGTGTGCGCTCAGATGGGATTAGTTTCATTTTTCATCTGGAACCTCTGAAGTAGTTTTCATTTTATTTTTATCAGAGGAAGTGCTAAACCAGGAGCTTTAAGACCCTGTAGGGGGTCTTAAAGCACCTGCAGAATGGGAGGTATTCAATATGTACATCAGGTTTGATCCAAGGAAGAGGAGGATAAATTTAGTTCCTTGGGTCAAGAGTCCCTCACCAGAACCAAGGAACCTCCCTTAAAGGGTGTAGAGTAATAACTTGGAAGTTTTTTGTGCAATTCATCAGTTCCTCGCTGGAAGTTTGCAAAAGTGGTTATACATATTTCATATTCCTCACTCTATATAAATAATTAAACCTGCTCCAACCACCAATTTCCAAAAGAAGGCCTATATTTTGTCCTGAAAGGTTAAAAGAATGTCTACTAAATATATTGCCAAATGGATAAGAGAAAAAGTTGACAATGCAACCTCTGCCACCAACTGTGGCCTCCAGTTCAAAGTGAAGTCACTAGTTAAACCAAATTCTCAAAGGCCTAAGAAGCAAAAGCATTAGGATTCTTCAAGGCTTTACATCTCAGCTGCATCAGAATGACAGGAGTGCTGATAAATAAAGTAAGAAAGCATTAACTGCAGAGTAAGCTTCTATTTTCATGATAACATTTTATCCACATAGGGGCATTATGATTGTCCTCATACTATTTCAGGAGCTTATCAGTTGATTTGGCTGTTTTTTCCTAGGCTGCCCAGCATGTAGTTCGGCTCATGGCATCACCCAGGAAGGCCATGGGCGATAGCACATTTGTGTCCAGTGGTACATTCTTTCCTTCCCCATCAAGCAATTTTTGTGATCCTTGAAGTTGTTTTTAAAGTTACAGCAAAACAAAATTGTGTCAGGCTTGTTTAGTAAAAAACTATCCTTGCCAAATATGCCAAATCAGCAAGCTTGGGCTATGTGGCATGTACCACATATGTACACAAGTACTGTACAGTAAATACATTTGTTCTCATCAGGCATACTGTTAAAGCAATGTATAATCATGCTATGCTCAAAAGCACATCCTTGATACATAAAATTATGACTTGTTTGCAGGGGTAGGAAAAAACTCTTGAAGCCAGTCACAGCCAAACAAAAATAGTACAGTAAGTGATACCTGTACAGTATATGTATGTACAAAGGGTTAAATGCCACTAGGAAAAAAATATACATGTAATTGTACAACAGGTAAACACATGAAATTTAAGATGAAGACATCTTTTACTGTATATCTATACACACAGTATATACATACATTACTGTATACATACACATACATACGTACTATATACGAGACACTGAGAAGAAAATCAACGAGCTCGCCAATGAGTGAAAGTTACATTTTCTATACCAAAATGCTCTTCATTCTTTCAAGTATTATATACATCTTTTAAATTGGCAAGTTTGTCACCTTTTCCCCATCAAGAATAAAGTGATGTTTGACCATGTGGTCATGCCCAAATCAGTTATTTAGCTCTCAACAAAACTAATGAACTTGCCATACCACATTAAAGCTCACTAAATTTCCTTAAAAATGAGACCAGTTTCATCAAAATTGTATGGCAGGTTACAGAAATACTGTTGCAAACATGGTGTTGTTCTGCCTTATATGTGCAAAACCTGACACTCCAGCAAGACTAGTATTCTTCACAAGGCAAATGACTGGTATGTCTAATAGAACTGATTGCTATCTTACTCTGCATTACATTGCAATGCTTTAACAATTATTAAAACAGACAGAATAGTTTGAGCTAACATGGAATTTTCTTCTCTGAATAGTGATTAAATTTTTTGTAACTAACAGTATTGTAATTTCTTTTGGTAGAAATTCAGAAACATTAATACACAAGAAACCAAGAAACACAACAGAATATTAACTGCTAAACAATTAGTGGCAAAATCTTACAACTGTTTTACTTTCCTCCACAAAGTTTTACTACTGTACATACAGTACACATACAGGTTTCCCAAGCTTTATGAAAGTTTGCTTCTTAAGAACTCATTGCCATTGAGTGTTCAATTTCTGTTTATAATTCTGTAAGTGCAATACAGCATGCATTTGTTGTGTGCCATCAGCGCAGTTCACACAACATATTAAATATTTTTATTATGTGAATTTAAGTGTTGATGACCTGAGTCTTAATACAGGTGCCTTAGACCTGAAACTTGTTTAATGCATAAAGCAAAGGACACCTGTGGTGTTATCAACAATAATAAATTACTGTATTTCCATAATCACAGTAAAAATGACCTTATTTTAATGGGTATTGGTATCAGCGCCTTACTAACTATTGTTACATGTATAAATTTATTTGGATGGATCACTGAAGGCTTCATGCCTTAGTCTAAGTATCAAACACTGGGAAGTTCGTAATGGGATTCTAGTACATAACTGGCCTTCCACTGGACAATATCATTTCCATGGGATTATTTAACTATTGTTTCTTCATAAACTACAAAATATCACTGTTACAATCGCAAAAATCTACTTGATGTAATTTCTCTATTACTATAACATGAGAAATTATGCTATGTATTTAGTTTCTATTGTATCACCAAATATTAACCAGAATCCAGTACTGAACTTTGAATGTAACAATTTGTTAAAATACATCACAAAATACAAACCTTTCACTAAGCACCAGTAAGAGAACACTTGCAAAAAATAAGAATATATCACACATGTGATCACATGCTGCTACTTCCATACCTGTCATGGCAGCCAATCATATATGTGTAATAATGTTGGTAGAATTACCAACAATATGTTAGATAAAAGAACACAAGTGCAACTAATGTGACATTTTACCTAACAAATCATATATGTGTTATAGTATATTATGTCTTATTTGTATGAACTTAAACAAATGGCTTACTACCATATAAACAATCATGAGGAGAAGTGTAATGTGAATATACTAGTTAACTGTCTATTATTAGGATGCATTACTGTATATTATTATTATTGTTATTATTATTATTACATATTATGTGGAGTGCTAAACCCATAATGTCATCCAGCACCTATGGACTGGGAAGCATTCAGGTTTGGTCTGAAAGGGTAGTTCCAATTCCTTGGATCAAGAATCCTTTACCAGCATCAAGGCACACTTTTCTTCTTGAAGGAAGTTAGAAGTGTAAGTTATCCCCATATCAAAGATAAATCGAAAATAAAATTAACCACTGGACTGATATCTTTAAATGTTGTATATTACACTCTGGAGATCCTCTGCACATTTATTAATCCTGACCTGTGTTATTAACTTAATTTGAATATAAATAATACTGGAGATGTGAAAACGTAAATAATACAAGACTTGGTCATAAACCAATAGTGATGAAGGTACAGTACTAAACTTGATATAGTACAAATATGATAACCAACATAACTGGAATTATCATACCCAATCATCAGAGAAAACTTTTAGAATTCCAGTACCTCCTTATAAAATCCTGATCAAGGACTTGAAAAATTTGGAAATTTAGATGCAGAATATAAACAGAATGATGTCCAGTACTGTATTACATAATAATAATAATAATAATAATAATAATAATAATAATAATAATAATAAATAATATAAAACTGAAATTAAAACTTGGAATTTTATAATTAATGAGCACATTCAAGAAATTCACACTCACTCACACACCAAACCATATATGCAAGAACATTATCTAGAAGAAATAATAAAGTTTATATTCAAGAGTGATAAAATGATCATCAGGATCATAATTCTAGAAAAGAGATGTGCTTTCAACTGAGACTTAAGAGCATGAGCAGATTCCTGACTCTTAACAGACAATGACAACCTGTTGAACAATCTAGGAGCTACGTATATAAGGAAAGGCTCTCTCTGTGAATGATTTCTCCCCAACAGTACAAGGCTTAATCAGTCTAAAAGGGTTTGCAGCAACTCAAAAGAAACATTCCCAAGCCTGGTGTAAAATATACAAGGATATCTGCAAAATAATTGGTTTCATAAAGAAAAAGGCACAATACCGTGACTAGAACAAAACACATAACCCGTACATAGAAGAGAGAAAAGCTTTTGATGATGTTTCGGTCTGACTTGAACCATTCACAAGTCACACTAATAGAAGAGAATGAGTGGGCCAGTATATATAGGTGAGGGGGACAGGGATGAGAGAAAGAGGAAGAAAAAGAAGCCCCTGTCCTCCTCACTTATATATACTGGCACAGTCATTCTTTTCTGTCAGTGTGACTTGTGAATGGTCCAAGTCAGACCAAAATGTCATCATAACCTTTTCTCTCTCCTATATGCGGGTCATTTGTGTATAACTAACAGTTTTAAATGTTAATACGCAGAGTTTACTCTGCCTTAATAGGAAACCAATGCAGGTCATACAAGTAGGGACTAGAGGGAGCAAAAATTCCAGTCTAGTTGCACAATTCCATACACACTAGAATCTTTTATACAAGTAATTAGGCAAACCCATAAACAGTTGCAAAAATCAATTAGAGAGGAAACAAACGCATGGATAAGGACCAAGATACTCTGCCCATCAAGATATTTACTGACTTCATAGAGATTACAATCATGAAAATTTCAAAATTTAACAATATGGTTAATTTTTGTTTTTAAACACACCAACCGTCTCTCACCAAGGTAGGATGACCCAAAAGAAGAAACACTTTCACCATCATTCACTCTATCACTGTCTACCAGAGGTGTGCCGATGCAATAGTTCAGATGCTCCTCTAAATTGCAAATATCCCCATCCCTCCTTCAGAGTGTAAGCACTGTACTTCCCACCTCCAGGGCTCAAATCTGACTAACTGGTTTTCTTGAATCCCTTCACAAAATGTTACCTTACTCACACTCCAACAGCTCGTCAAGTCCCCAAACCCACTTGCCTTCACTCACTCCTATCTAACATGCTCACACAGGCCAGCTGGGTGGCCAAGCTCCTTGTACAGTACAAAATCTTTTGTACCCCCTCTCTCCAACCTTTCCTAGGGTGACCCCTACCTTGCCTTCCCTCCACAACAGATTTATACACCCTCCAAGTCATCCTATTTTTCTCCATCCTCTCTGAATGTCTAAACCACATCAACAAACCCTCCTTAGCCCTCTGGATAATATTTTTAGTAACTCCACACCTCCTCCTACTCTATAGACTACAAATTCTCTGCATGATATTGACACCACACATTATCCTCAGACACGACATCAACACTTCCCCCAGCCTCCTCTTTGCTGCAACATTCACAACCCATGCTTCACACCCATATAAGACTGTTGGTACCGTTATACTCTCATACATTCCCCATATTGCCACCATAGATACTGTTCTTTGTCTCCACAGATAACTCAACACACCACCCACCTCTTTTCCCTTATCAGTTCTATGGTTCACCTCATCTTTCATCAACCCATTTGCCAACAAATCACTCTCAAATATCTGAACACATTCACTTCCTCCATACTCCCTCCTTCCAATATGATATTAAATCTTTCAATACCTAAATCATTTCTTACCTCTCACTTTTAATTTCCTTCTTGTACATACCCTCCCAAATTCGTCTACCAACCTTTGCACCTTCTCTTCAGAATCTCCCAAAAGCACAATGTCATCAGCATAAAACAACTGTGACAACTCCCATTTTGTATTAGATTTTGCACATTTTAATCCCACACTTCCCCAACACTCATTTCTTTTACAATCACATCCCCCATCTATAAATATGTTTAACAACCATGGTGACATCACGCATCCCTGTGTAAAGCCTACCTTTACTGAAAAATAATCTTCCTCCTACATACCCTAACCTGAGCCTCACTACCTTCATAAAAACTCTTAACTGCTACCAGCAACCTACCACCTATTCGTATTCCATACACTTGCAACATCTGCCACATTGCTCCCCTATCCACCCTATCAAATGCCTTTTCTAAATCAAACAAATGCCAATGAAGAATTTAGGTAGACACTCAGGTTCTTTAGTGATTAGACAGACTACAAACTGACAGTACCACAACTGAAGGCACCAAAATCTCCAATCTGCATTCGCCTAATCATCAAAATTTCTGCCTTACCCTCATTTATTGTAGTTTCAATTTCCTATTTGTCATCAAGTTCAAATTTATTATACAAATACTATACTATTCTGTAGAAATATTCATGAAGAGCATTAAACCCTTAAGGGTTATTCAGCAGTGCATGACAGAGATGAAAGTGATGGTATGGGTTACAGGTGGTAGTGGCATTATAATAATCAATGGAAGCACTAAACTTGTAAAGGTCATACAAGACCTGGTTCATAGGAATAATCAGGTTTAATCCAAGGAAGGGAAAAATAGTGCTGATTCCTTGGATTAAGAGCTTTTCACCAACATCAAGACACACCCTTGAAAGGGTAAGTGCTGAAGAACCTGACTGAATTCACAGGAAAGATAAGACCATCAGATACCATTGCATCCTGTAAGGTACAATACTGTATTTATATGTAATTACAGTATGTCAAGTTCAATTACCTCCTATTTTATTGATAATGAAATAGTTGTGCCAAATAAACAGATAAAGCACAAAAGACAGACAAATATTCTTTACATCACTTATGGTTTAACACAAATTTGTAACTTTTACAGATATAAATTAACCCTAATTGGTATTAAAACCATCAGTTAATGGCATGATTTTCCTTTCTGCTTAGATCTGTGTATCACAATTTTTTTCTTTATAGCCATTGGTTGTTCCCACCAAGGTAAGTTGACCCCAAAAAAGAAATGGGAAACATTCCTTATTATTCACTCATTACCTGTCTTACTGGAAGTGCAGATACATCACAATTCAAATAATCCTCTGAACTACAACATCCCCACTTGTCTTTGAGAGTGCAGGCTCTGTAATTCTCACTCTCAAGTGCCAACTAGTTCCCTAAACCCTTTAATAAATATGAAGAGGTTCAGGAAAGGAAGGTATTCAGAATTATTAAATTTAGGTCACCCTGCCTCGGTGGAACACGGCAAGTTTGATAAAAAAAAAAAAAATCATACTTCAGTTCTGATGCTGGAAGTACCTTTCTTAATTTATCCCTTCACCAGGTCTGCTGCTTTTATACACAACCACTAAGTGTACCCACCCTAAGACTGACAAGTTTCTTCTTCAGTGTACTTTATTTGGTGCACAACAGAAACTCTTTCTATAAGTCAGTATTTCACCATGGCTAAGACAGTCGGATGGGCAACTCTTCTTCAGCCTTAAATAATCAATTATCTGACCATGTATTGTACTGCATTCAGTGGATCTCAAATCTCTACATATTTGCATTTCAAATTTTTTTATCACCTCTATGTAATATTCTATTTACTAGCATAGTGGTATGTAATATTTTTAAATTTTTATTAGACAGTCTGACCTAATCTAACCAAACCAAACATACCTAACCAAAATAACATAAATAAAAAAAATGATAAAATTAGCATATGAGAAATGATCTTAGAATTTAGAAGGATGGGTTGGGAACAGATAACACATATCACACAAACATGAAAAGTGTGACAGATACAAGATTTAAGCAACAATTAACTTTAAGAGGGCAAGGCAGGACTGAACAGAAATGATAAAATTTTAAGAAGTCATAAGAAATTTGACTATGGTAAATAAATAAAAAAAATGTTCCTGGAAACTGCTAAACCCATATGGGATATTCAGTACTACACAACAGAGGTGATAAGAGATAGTAGAGGAAACAAGGTAGTAGTGTTGAAGAAAGGACATTGAGCATCTCATCTGACATAACAAAGTAGAAAGAGCTCAAAAATAGGTCTGCATAAAAGATGGAGGAGGGCAGACAAATTAAAAATGTCAGAAAAATGAGTAGTATATTATTATTATAATCAAGGGGGAGCACTAAACCCATAGGGTTATGCAGATAAGCGAGTACAGCAGGCCACAGAAAAACAAGATAAAAAGACAGATTCTACGATACATAGAACAATATAACAAGATGTGCTCTACGGTGACAATGAAGGGTAAGCCTCGGACTGGAATTATTATGCTCATTGGGGTAGTGCTAAATCCACAGGGTCATAGAGCACCTGGGAAAGATGTGAGATAATCAGGTTCCATGCAAGTAAGGGGAGATCAGGTCCAATTCCTTTGACTGAGAGCCCCTCAGTAGTATCAAGAAACTTCAAGTGAGGGACATGCATAGAAAAACTAGGTGCTTAACTATGAAACGACCATAGTCATGAGAGAAGACTCCCTTGATTTGTTCGGGGTGGGTCCCCTTAGTACTAAAGCTTTGAAGCCCAGGTCAGTCCCATTGTTCTACGTGATGAGTTCAGCACTCTCAGATAAGATGCGAGCAGTAAATTTGGGCCTAGATATAAGAAAATGAGTCTATGCAGTAATGGTGTGCCATATACACACAAAAAAATCCTGCAGCATGCAGTGTATAATGGGAAAAAACTGCGACCGAGTTTTTGGTTTAAAACAGCAACTTTGTGGTGTATTTTCGTACGATTTTTATGGTTGGATTCTTGGTTTCGGTGTCTCATTTGATAGTATGGCATATTACAGAAATGTATATGATTCTGATTGGTTTTAGGACTGAAATTTGCTTGAAATTGATCTCAAAGTAGCGGAAATGTGATTTTTGCCGATATTCCAGAGTACGCAAATTGCGTCACTTGTCTAATACGTGTCCAACTGGGCAGTCTAATGTGTGTTCACATATGCGCTGACATTATTTATACAAATACTGTATTACAATAATCCAGTAGTCTGCATAACAGTAAATTTCTTTTTTGTGTGAATAAAAATTAAAAATAGAAAGGAAGTGAAATATAGGAGAGGCCTGGGGATGTAACTAATGAACTGAGGAAATGTTGTTTGAGTGCCAGGAATGTTTATGATGTTTATTCCGGACCCTACTTTTAAATTTGGCAATTTTTTTTAATTTCATGTGCAACTGGCCAAATTACCAATTTCTGATCACTTTATTAAATAGTTGAAATAGGTAAGTGGGCAGTTGTTTGTACTAAATCATTAGAACAGAAGGAATACTAGCAAGATAGCTATGAGTTTGGTCGACTGGAACAAAGGCATTGGCTGAAAATAGGGCTCAAAGTGGGCGAAACTGCTAATGCATAAATATCGCCAAGACTGCTAACTTTGAGGGTGTAATTCCCTAAATTTTCCATCAAGTTTCATACTTTTGGTTTCCTTACCTTCAGAAAAAGATTCTTTATCATTTCACAAGATTTTTTTTTTCTTTAAGTTCTCTGACCCTTAGAGCAAGTTTCAGATCAGGGGTTCTGACCCTGAAAGGTTTAAGAGCCAACCATGCTATAAGGAAAACTAAAGAATTGGTATGGCTTTAGGGAAAACAGGTTCTTGTTCATCAGTGTAGACCAATGTCATTGCCAGGAAACATACAAGAAGTGGTTACAAACAAGATACCTGTGCTGTAATATTCTACAACAGGCAGCTGCCTGTGTAAAATCAGAAGTTTCTGAGCTGCTGAGATTGCAGAAGATTTTGCAGCTTCAGTTGTTTGAAACAGGAATGATTAGGAATCCAGTAAAAGACAACTGTTTGTGTCTACCAAGAAGGTAATAAAACTTACTGTGAATGAAAATCACAAGCAGAGGGGAAGAATCAAGACTACATCACTTGCTATTCACTATGAAAATCAGAAACAGCTATAAATGCTTAGGCAGGTATCAAGGTACTGTAATCTGGATGTTGACTATATGGACATATAGCCCAGCAGGAAAAATACTAGCAGACTGCAGCAAGTGCCCCTAAAAAAACGGCTATGCAGCAGACCCGTGGAGAACTTTAAACCATCAGTGTACACAGCAAATGCATCTGAGGGTGACTGACAGGGCTCAAGAGAGGACACACAGGTATTAAAGAAAATATTTTGAGAAAGGAGGAAAGGGCAAATATCTAGCCTTATTATTTTCCAGTGGGAGGTACAATATCAAAATGGGAAACAGAAAGGTAGTCCAGAAGGCTGTATTAAGGAGGGATGGACCCAAAAATATTAAATTTCTAACATCTGTTTATAATTTTTTTAACACTCATGCTGTTTTCCACCGAGGTAGGTGACCTGGCATAGAAAAGAGCACTTTCGCTGTCAAGCATTCAATCAGTCTTGCCAGAAAGGAGCCAACGTCACAATTCACATGACCCTCCAAACCACAGCATCCCCACCCCTCCTACAGAAAGCAGGCATTATACTTCCTACTTCCAGGACTCATGTCCAGCTAACCAGTTTCCCTGAATCCCTTCATAAATTTTACCTTGTTCACACCCCAACAGCACATCAAATCATAAAAAATACACTTGCTTCCACTCACTCTTATCTAACATGCTCACACACCTATTAGATGTCCAAGCCCCTAGTCCTTAAAACCACCTGCACCCCCTCTTTCTAACCTTTCCTAAGACAACACCTAACCCTCCTTCCCTGATTTATATGCCCTCCTAGTCACCCCATTTTTCTCCATCCTCTCTAAATGTTTAAACCACCTTCTAATAGTGAAGAAAGTGGTTATCAAGGCACTCTCATGAAGTGGAGATATTAACACTCCACATTAAGGCTCTCAAGAGGGAGATTTAAAAGTCCCTGTACATAACATTAACCCAGGTTATTGATGGTATCCATGTTGGAGGGAAATGCTATGAAGACTGAAAAGTACATATGGCATTCATAATGCAACTTTGGCAAGACCAAGGCCCATCTATTATTTCTCCAGAAGTTATGAGACAAACTATGCTGCTGTAAACCTGGTAAGAGAAGATGTTGTTTCTGACAAAATTGCAAGTGAACTGAAGGATAAGGAGAGGTATTCATATAAAAATTCTGAGATAAGGAAGAAATTGGATTCATAAGCCAAAAAATTGTCTGGGATAAGCAGTAAATATATTAACAGATTGAACAAAATGTCTTGGAAAATGTGAGAGGGAAAGCCATCAGCATACTCTAAACTTGAAGACTAATAGTCATCAATGTCACAGTGAGTCCTGAAGGAAGTCTCTGAGAATGGATTTTTTGTCTTAAAATCAGCTGCTTTTTCTTCCCATATATTTCTCAATGCTTACAACTTTCCCTCGTCTATTTGTTATTTTAGCCATCCTTCAGAGACCTAAGGAAACACCCGCTCTCTAGGATTGAAATAAGTATATCCCCTATTCTTATACTTATTCTTACCTTCTTGCTCTTTTCTGCATTCACTTTCAATATCTTTCTTTTGTACTCTTCAAAATACCTTAACCAACCTTTTGCACCAAGTTATCCTCAAACAGCAACTATGACACCTCCCAATTTACTTATTTCTGCATTTGTCTACAAGACTATTTACATGTTTTCTCTAGGTGTAACCTGTATATGACCATGTTATTCATGTTTTCTATCCTATAGTTCTTTAGGTTAATAAATTAACTTATATCATCATCTTTTTTTTAAACTTTTAAAAAATATAATCCATCCTAGGTGCACATCATAAAATAAAACCAAATTTGTGAAAGGATTAAACTTCAATTACAATCATCTAACTCATGTGCTTTTGTATTGATAAAGTATTTTTCAGAATGTTTTAAGTGCATGAATTTTTATTTAGAACTCGTCATTTTTTCACTCCACAGATAGATATTATTATCAAATAAAATCAATGAGGAAGAAAAGCTAAAAATGTTTGTGTAAACATCCTCATTAATAACTTCTCTAACTACCCAAATCATAGTAGATGTGGTAATTTTTTATTCGATAACATCTCATTACTTGTGTTAACTGACAACTAACAAAATGTTCTATTAACCAAACATCTACATGTTAATTAAAGAACAAATACCATTATGTTCTATATACTTTAGTTGGCTATAATTTGGTCCCTACATACATGAGTTTGGCTGCAAGATGTCTTGCTTATTACCCACACTATACCCTACATACATGTGTTTGGCTGCAAGATGTCTTATTACCCACACTATACCCTACATACATGTGTTTGGCTGCAAGATGTCTTATTACCCACACTATACCCTACATCAGATGACCCACTTCTTTCTCACTCATCACACAAATTTCTATTAATGATCTAACAAAGAAAGAAATATGGTATTACATCAATAAGGACTCCATCAGGTATAATTTGAACTTAATAATAAAGCATGTTTTAGAAAGTGCATTTAGCATATACCGTTAGATTCTTGCTAGCTGAAAAGATCAACATAGATCAATGTTAAAAGAAAGAATAGTAAAAAAACAGTGCACTCAAAAAGATTAAATATATATATAATAAAAAGTGCATTAAGAAACTAGTCCTTATCTGTGCCCTAGCCCTCCAATATTACCATTATTAATAATTTAAAAAAGTATTTAATAATATACAGTATTTACACAGAAAATAATATTCCACATAATTTTTACATGATTCAGGAGGGACGTGGTAAAATCAAAGAATATAATCTACTGACACAATTCAAGAGCATAGATACAAAATGCACCTACTCCTCTCACACACTTTGTTCTATATCTGTTACACTCATCAATGAAACAATACATAATTATAAAACATCTTTCCATGATACATATTGCTTTGTATAATTTACATGTTTAATAATAGCAGTTATATTACAATAGCACTAATTTATCCATTAACTTCAGAAATAGTATAAAATTTGTTAATTCCAACAGTGTAGCATGTAGAAGGCAACCAGCTATCAGTGTCCTTCAGGTAAGGATATGGTGTGAAGAGAACGAGTTTAGAGACTACTACCTTGCCACTGATTCACTTACATATTATTTTAACAATCCAAGCTAACAGACAGTATATCATATAAAAACTGAAGAGGGAAATTTATCACATCTAACCTATAATCGGCAGTGGGCCTGTTCTTTCAGAAAATTTTATGTATGTATGTATGTATGTATGTATTTACTTACCTATGTGCATTTGCTGAGGTCAAGACTCAACTCCTGACCCCAACCCTCAACTTACTGCTTGCCAGATTCACTTTCTCCTTGCCTCATAGGCTCTGTTGTGCCTGCTTTTAAAACTATGTAGGGAGCCTGTCTTGACTGCTCTGAGACTGAAGACATACTTCCTACCATCCCTATGGCTCATCTGTGTCTTTAGCTTCCAGCTGTGTCCCCGAGTACCTGTTTCTCGACTCTCAAACAACCTATCCCCATCCTCCCTATCTACCCAATCAATTCCCGAGTATTTTCTATGTCATTATCGCGTCTTTCTGGTTCTTCTGTCCTCTACTGTCATTAAATTCAATTACATTAGCCTTTCCTCTTAGCTAATACCCCTTAGCCACCAGGCCCCGTGGCCTGGTGGCTAAAGCTCGCTTCACATGGCGAGCGTCTGGGTTTGATTCCCAGCAGGGTAGAAACATTGGGCGTGTTTCTTTACACCAGTTGTCTATGTTCACCCATCAGTAAAATGGGTACCTGGGAGTTAGTCGACTGGTGTGGATCGCATCCTGGGACAAAACTGACCTAATTTGCCCGAAATGCTCTGCATAATAAGTGACTTTCTATACAGAAATATGTCATTGATGTCAGCTAGGATGTATACCATGTACATGTACTTGTAGTAAATAAAGATATTATTATTATTAACTTTAGAATAAGACTCAGTGCATAACTTTGCACTTTCTCCAGTTTTTTTAACATACCTTTTCAAGGGTGGGTTCTATCCTGGTGCTGCATATTCCAAGATGTGCCTAACAGTGTGTTGTATAAAGGGCCTGGAATTACTCTTTGTTCAGATATGTATGTATACCTGTATATTTATATGTATGTGTGTATGTATGTCTAATGTATGTACCTGTGTATATAAGCAACACACATAAAAGTGTGATGGATAAGAATCTTCTTATCCATCACCCCTGTGGTTGTGTTACTTATCCATTATCACTTGTTTTTTTGTGATATTCCTTGCATATTTTTATGAATGTACTGTATATATGTATGTATATACACACACATGCACATACATATAACTAGGCAGTTTCTATCAGCTCAATCTATATAAACTAGATGTTAATTTTTTTCAAGAACAGTAATTCTCATTATGATTCATACTAAGTTCAATCCTTTGGAATCCTGGTTGATGCCTGAAGAATCTTGCTTTGCTGCAAAGTAAATAATAATTTTTGCTATGAAATATATATACTGAATTTTATAGGAACTATAAAGTCTATGATTATATAAATACAGCAATACAACATTTAATGTACTGTGCAATAAGTATTATAAATCAATGATAAAGGACTATATTTATTACAAATACTTGAGATGAAGTGCATTCAATTAACTGTTTTTTTTAACGCATCAGCCATTTCCCACCGAGGCAGGGTGACTCAAAAAGAAAGAAAAACCCAAAAAGAAAGAAAAATCTTTCACCATTATTCAACACTTTCACCATCATTCATACATAATCACTGTCTTTATTAATTACTTGCTATAATATTGAGCCCCTGCCACTTGAATCATTACTGACACCTGCACTCAGAATTTTTTTTTTTTTTTTTTTTTTTTCAACAAGTCGGCCGTCTCCCACCGAGGCAGGGTGACCCAAAAAAGAAAGAAAATCCCCAAAAAGAAAATACTTTCATCATCATTCAACACTTTCACCACACTCGCACATTATCACTGTTTTTGCAGATGGTGCTCAGAATACAACATCTAGAAGCATAAACATATAAAGATTCACAACATTCCCTCCAAACTGCCAATATCCCAAACCCCTCCTTTAAAGTGCAGGCATTGTACTTCCATTTTCCAGACTCAAGTCCGACTATATGAAAATAAACCGTTTCCCTGAATCCCTTCACTAAATATTACCCTGCTCACACTCAACAAATCGTCAGGTCCCAAGTACCATTCGTCTCCATTCACTCCTATCTAACACGCTCACCACGCTGCTGGAAGTCCAAGCCCCTTACCCACAAAACCTCCTTTACCCCCATCTCTCCAACCCTTTCGAGGACGACCCCTACCCCGCCTTCCTTCCCCTATAGATTTTATATGCTTTCCAGTCATTCTACTGTGACCATTCTCTCTAAATGACCAAACCACCATAACAACCCCTCTTCTGCCCTCTGACTAATACTTTTATTAACTCCACACCTTCTCCTAATTTCCACACTCCGAATTTTCTGCATAATATTTACACCACCACATTGCCCATTAAACAGGACATCTCCGCTGCCTCCAACCGTCTCCTCGCTGCTGCATTTACCACCCAAGCTTCACACCCATATAAGAGTGTTGTGTAACTTACTATACTTTCATACATTCCCTTCTTTGCCTCCATAGATAACGTTTTTTGACATCCCATATACCTCAACGCACCACTCACCTTTTTTCCCTCATCAATTCTATGATTAACTCATCCTTCATAAATCCATCCGCCGACACGTCAACTCCCAAGTATCTGAAAACATTCACTTCTTCATACTCCTCCTCCCCAATTTGATATCCAATTTTTTCTTTATCTAAATCATTTGACACCCTCATCACCTTACTCTTTTCTATGTTCACTTTCAACTTTCTACCTTTTACACACATTCCCAAACTCATCCACTAACCTTTGCAATTTTTCTTTAGAATCTCCCCTAAGCCAGTATCATCAGCAAAAGTAACTGTGTCAATTCCCATTTTGAATTTGATTCCCATAATTTAATCCCACCCCTCTCCAAACACCCAAGCATTTACTTCCTTTACAACCCCATCTATAAATATATTAAACAACCATGGTGACATTACACATCCCTGTCTAAGACCTACTTTTACCGGGAAGTAGTCTCCCTCTCTTCTACACACCCTAACCTGAGCCTCACTATCCTCATAAAAACTCTTTACAGCATTTAATAACTTACCACCTATTCCATATACTTGCAACATCTGCCACATTGCTCCTCTATCCACTCTATCATATGCCTTTTCTAAATCAGAATAACTCAGAATATGTAGGATAATGCTTCAGATCAGTCACTAATGCATGACACCTTACTGTACACTTAAATAGCAGACATACTGACTAATTAGTGGCTTGTTAACATGTACAGTATATTGAATATTATGACTTATAAAAATTAAATGCCATAAAAATTCCCAAAAAATTGTACTTCACTGTATTAGATTGTTATTAGATAATTAAAATGTGTTAGGCTACTTTTAATTTTGTAGTTTTAATGATTAATTTAATTTTTAAAATGAAAATCTGCCAGTAATGATACAATACAATGAGTTTAAGACAGCTGAAGTTTATTATAAGTCACCATGGGACAGGTAGTCCAATTTAATTATAAGCACATAATTTTTTTTCAACATGCCAGCCATATCCCACTGAGGCAGGGTGACCCAAGAAAGAAACACTTTTACCATCATTCACACAATCACTGTCTTTGCAGAGGTGCCCAGATATGACAATTTAGATGTCACTCCAAACAGCCAATATCTCAAACCCCTCCTTTAAACTGCAGGCATTGTACTTCCCACCTCCAGGACACATGTCCAGCTAACCGTTTTCCCTGAATCCCTTCACGAAATATTACCTGCTCACACTTCAACAGCTCGTCACGTCCCAAATACCCTTTGTCTCCATTCGCTCCTATCTAACACACTCACATGTGCCTGCTGCATATCCAGGCCCCTTGCACACAAAACCTCTTTTATCCCCTCCCTCCATCCTTTCTTCGAACAATCCCTACCCCTCCTCTCCTCCACTACCAATTTATACACCCTCCAAGTCATTCTATTTTGCTCCATCCTCTCTAAATGTCCAAACCACCTCAAAAACCCCTCTTCACCCCTCTGAATAATACTTTTAGTAACTCCATATATCCTCCTAATTTTCACACCACAAATTCTCTGCATATTTACACCACACATTGCCCTTAGACATGACATCTCATTGCCTCCAACCCCCTCCTCGCTGCAGTATTCACAACCCATGCTTCACACCCATATAAGAGTGTTGGTACCACTGTATTCTTGTACATTCCTTTTTTTTGCCTCCATGAATAATGTTTCTTGTCTCCACAGACACCTTAATGCTCTACTCACGTTTTTCCTTCATAAATTCTATGGTTAACCTTGTACTTCATAAACCCATCTGATGACAAATCTACTTCCAAATATCTGAACACATTCACTTCTTCTGTACTCTCTCCCTCCAATGTGATATCCAATCTTTCTTTACCTAACTTGTTTGATACCCCTCATCATGTTACTCTTATCTATGTTCACTTTCAACTTTCTTTACACACACAATACCTTTATCAAAATCATTTGCACACCATTTAATAATTTTCGAGAAAACAATATATTTTCATATAGTCGGACTTGAGTCCTGGAAATGGGAAGTACAATGCCTGCACTTTAAAGGAGGGGTTTGGGATATTGGCAGTTTGGAGGGATATGTTGTGTATCTCTATACGTATATGCTTCTAAACTGTTGTATTCTGAGCACCTCTGCAAAAGCAGTGATAATGTGAGTGTGGTGAAAGTGTTGAATGATGATGAAAGTATTTTCTTTTTGGGGATTTTCTTTCTTTTTTTGGGTCACCCTGCCTCGGTGGGAGACGACCGACTTGTTGAAAAAAAAAAAAAAAAAAAAAAAAAAAAAAAAAAAAAAAAAAAAAAAAAAAAAACATAAATATACCTTCTATATTCTCTGGCCATCAATATAAGAGAATATGAATGTTTAGCATGAAATATCTGACCTGATACTCCTGCTCAGTTTCGATGAGGCCAACCACCACAACCATTTGGTACTGCTTGGCACGCATGCTGGAAAGTGGCTTTCGCAGTAGTCTCATAGCAGCAGGTGCTGTGTGTGTGTGTAGCAGCTGGGCTACTTGTGTTGGAGCATGGGACGGGTCTAATACCAGCAGCCGGATCCCTCCTTCATTGCCACCAAGCTGCTCCACACCAATGACAGTTCGACTGTGGCCTGTAAAAATTTAAGCGTGAGCGTGTTTGATAGGAGTGAATGGAGACAAATGGTTTTTAATACTTGACGTGCTGTTGGAGTGTGAGCAAAGTAACATTTATGAAGGGGTTCAGGGAAACCGGCAGGCCGGACTTGAGTCCTGGAGATGGGAAGTACAGTGCCTGCACTCTGAAGGAGGGGTGTTAATGTTGCAGTTTAAAAACTGTAGAGTAAAGCACCCTTCTGGCAAGACAGTGATGGAGTGAATGATGGTGAAAGTTTTTCTTTTTCGGGCCACCCTGCCTTGGTGGGAATCGGCCAGTGTGATAATAAAAAAAAAAATTTATTCATTACTAACATTTGCTAAACACAGAGTTATCAATACAACCACCACCGTAATTAATGCTAATTTTCTTTGAACTGTTACTTAATAACTTGCATAATAAACTAATTATTGTATAACTCAACGAATGGCAGCTCTCAGAACAATCTCAAATTCAACCAATAGGCAAAACACTGTCTTTATTTGAATCCTTAACCCTTTGACTGTCGAAGGGCCCAATCCTGAAGTTGCTCCTGGTGTCGCAAAATATTCGAAAAAAAAAAAAATTATTTTTTCTTATGAAATGATAGAGAATCTTTTCCCGATTGTAAAGACACCAAAAAAACGAAATTTGATGGAAAACTGACGGAATTACGCTCTCGCGAAGTTAGCGACTTCGGCGATATTTAAAAATCGGCAATTTCGCCCACTTTGAGCCCTATTTTCGGCTAATTCCGTTATTCCAGTCAACCAAACTCATAACTATTTCTTCAGAACTCTATTTTTTCTATCGATTGAGCACAAGAAACTGCCCATTTACCGATTTCAACTACCCAATAACATGGTCAGAAATTTGCAATTTGGCCAATTTCACGAAAATTAAAAAATACGACAATTTCAAAATAAGGTCCAGAATGAACAATGCAGACATTCCTGCTCTAAAATAAGATTTTCTTTGTTCATCAGTCATGTCTCCAGGTCCCTGTGATATTACTCTTGCTTTTTATTTTGAAATTTTATTCAAACAAAAAATAGAAGATTTACTGTTATGCAGACTACTGCAATACTGTAATAATTGTAAAAATTACATCAACCCATTCATGACTGCGTATTAGAATGGCTATTTGGACATTTATTGGACAATGACATCATTTGTTTACTTTGAACATCGGCAAAAATCAAACATTTCCTGTACTTTGTGCTCCATTTCCAGGTTCTTTTTATAGTAAAATTAATCAAAATCACCTCCATTTCTATAATATAGTTTCCATTCTATCAAATGAGACCATGAAAACGAGAATACAACCACAAATACTATACGAAAATAGACCACAAAGTCGGCATTTTAATTAAAAAAAAACGGTTGGAGTTTTTTTTTTCTCATTATGCACTGCGTGCTCCAGGATTTTTTTTATGTGGTGCACACTGACCACACAGACCCATTCTCTCACATGTGGGCCTACTAGCTTTCTCCTGCCTGATTTGAAGCCGCTAGAATTTATGAGTATATATACGTCAAACACGGTACCTCACAAACGTATATATACGGCCGCGACAGTCAAAGGGTTAAATCAACTAAATATAAATGCAATTCATACTTACTGCTGTTACAATCCACAAGTTCAAAACAGCACACTGAAATGCTGATGCTGAACTGAGGCAATTCCTAAATTATTAAATGTCACCTAATGTTGTAAAAAAAACTATACCTGATAACATAATTTATTTAACTCGCAAGTCATACAGCACTAGGAGAATGGGAGGCAATCAGGTTTGAGCCAGAGGAGAGGTAGAATATCTCCAAATTCCTTGGATCAAGAGCTCTTCACCAGCATCAAAGTATTCTGCTCTATTGTTAGACTGGACAAAATCTATATTCAATGCCTAACACTTTTGAAATTCAACTTTAAATATTAGGTAGTGACTGAATTTTTCTAGGTAGTAGGTTGGTAGACAGCAACCGCCCAGGGAGGTACTACCGTCCTGCCAAGTGAGTGTAAAACTGAAGCCTGTAATTGTTTTACACGATGGTAAGATTGCTGGTGTCTTTTTTTATCTGTCTCATACACATGCAAGATTTCAGGTATGTCTTGCTACTTCTACTTACACTTAGGTCACACTACACATACATGTACAAGCATATATATACACACCCCTTTGGGTTTTCTTCTATTTTCTTTCTAGTTCTTGTTCTTGTTTATTTCCTCTTACCTCCATGGGGAAGTGGAACAGAATTCTTCCTCCGTAAGCCATGCGTGTTGTAAGAGGCGACTAAAATGCCGGGAGCAAGGAGCTAGTAACCTCTTCTCCTGTATATATTACTAAATGTAAAAGGATAAACTTTCGTTTTTCCTTTTGGGCCACCCCGCCTCAGTGGGATACGGCCGGTGTGTTGAAAGAAAGAAAGAAGACTCTGAATTTTGTAGCTAAGAATAAAATTTGTTATGCAACAGGTCACTACAGAGTTTTAAATAAGTCATCCCAACTAACACAATTATATGTATTTTGCAAAATACTTATGAATATGGTATCCTTAAGCATTCCTTTTAACTTTCTGCATATATTTCTCAATAATCACAGTGCAAGTACAGTAGACAGCAACCACCTAGGGGGATACTACCGTCCTGCCAAGTCAGTGTGAAACGAAAGCCTGTAATTGTTTTACATGATGGTAAGATTGCTGGTGTCTTTTTTCTGTCTTATAAATATGCAAGATTACAGGTACGTCTTGCTACTTCTACTTACACTTAGGTCACACTACACGTACATGTACATGTTTATTTATACACACTCATCTGAGTTGTTTTTTTATTTTATCTTAAAAGTTCTTGGTCTTATTACTTTTCCTTTTATATCCATGGGGAAGTGGAATAAGAATATTTCCTCCGTAAGTCATGCGTGTTGTAAAAGTCAACTAAAATGCCGGGAACTATGGGCTAGTAACCCCTTTTCTTGTAATAATTACTAAAAAGAATAAGAAGAAAATTGTCAAAGTGGGAAGTCTGAATGTGCGTGGATGTTGGGCGTGATAAGAAAGAGATGATTGTGGATGTTATGAATCAGAAGAAGCTGGAGGTCCTGGCTTTAAGTGAAACAAAGCTGAAGGGGATGGGAGAGTTTCAGTGGAGAGGAATAAATGGGATTAGGTCAGGGGTTTCAAATAGAGTTAGAGCTAAAGAAGGAGTAGCAATAATGTTGAAGGATAAGTTATGGCAGAAAAATAGGGACTATATGTAAATGAGAGCACAGGCAATGGGGTCGAAGAGGTATGGGGTAGGTTTAAAAATGTAGTGTTAGAGTGTTCAGCAGAAGTTTGTGGTTACAGGAAAGTGGGTGCGGGAGGGAAGAGGAGCGATTGGTGGAATGATGATGTAAAGAGAGCAGTAAGGGAGAAAAAGTTAGCATATGAGAAGTTTTTACAAAGTAGAAGTGATACAAGGAGGGAAGAGTATATGGAGAAAAAGAGAGAGGTTAAGAGAGTGGTGAAGCAATGTAAAAAGAGAGCAAATGAGAGTGGGTGAGATGTTATCAACAAATTTTGTTGAAAATAAGAAAAAGTTTTGGAGTGAGATTAACAAGTTAAGGAAGCCTAGAGAACAAATGGATTTGTCAGTTAAAAATAGAAGAGGAGAGTTATTAAATGGAGAGTTAGAGGTATTGGGAAGATGGAGGGAATATTTTGAGGCGTGGAGTTAAAAGATAAAGAATCACACATAAAGTGGGAGTTGTCATAGTTGCTCTTTGCTGATGACACTGTGCTCTTGGGAGATTCTGAAGAGAAGTTGCAGAGATTGGTGGATGAATTTGGTAGGGTGTGCAAAAGAAGAAAATTAAAAGTGAATACAGGAAAGAGTAAGGTTATGAGGATAACAAAAAGATTAGGTGATGAAAGATTGGATATCAGATTGGAGGGAGAGAGTATGGAGGAGGTGAATGTATTCAGATATTTGGGAGTGGACGTGTCAGCGGATGGGTCTATGAAAGATGAGGTGAATCATAGAATTGATGAGGGGAAAAGGGTGAGTGGTGCACTTAGGAGTCTGTGGAGACAAAGAACTTTGTCCTTGGAGGCAAAGAGGGGAATTTATGAGAGTATAGTTTTACCAACGCTCTTATATGGGTGTGAAGCATGGGTGATGAATGTTGCAGCGAGGAGAAGGCTGGAGGCAGTGGAGATGTCATGTCTGAGGGCAATGTGTGGTGTGAATATAATGCAGAGAATTCGTAGTTTGTAAGTTAGGAGGAGGTGCGGGATTACCAAAACTGTTGTCCAGAGGGCTGAGGAAGGGTTGTTGAGGTGGTTCGGACATGTAGAGAGAATGGAGTGAAACAGAGTGACTTCAAGAGTGTATCAGTCTGTAGTGGAAGGAAGGTAGGGTAGGGGTCGGCCTAGGAAAGGTTGGAGGGAGGGGGTAAAGGAGGTTTTGTGTGCGAGGGGCTTGGACTTCCAGCAGGCATGCATGAGCGTGTTTGATAGGAGTGAATGGAGACAAATGGTTTTTAATACTTGACATGCTGTTGGAGTGTGAGCAAAGTAACATTTATGAAGGGGTTCAGGGAAACCAGCAGGCCGGACTTGAGTCCTGGAGATGGGAAGTACAGTGCCTGCACTCTGAAGGAGGGGTGTTAATGTTGCAGTTTAAAAACTGTAGTGTAAAGCACCCTTCTGGCAAGACAGTGATGGAGTGAATGATGGTGAAAGTTTTTCTTTTTCGAGCCACCCTGCCTTGGTGGGAATCGGCCAGTGTGATAATAAAAAAAAAATGTAAATGTGTTAATTCAAGGATTATGTGGAGTAAAATAAAGGTTGGATGTGAAAAGTTGGTTATTTAGTAAGCGTATATGCACCTGGAGAAGAGAGAAGTGTTGAGAGAGAGAGAGAGATTTTGGGTAATGTTGAGTGAATGCGTGGGGAGTTTTGAACCAAGTGTGAAAGTAATGGTGGTTGGGGATTTCAATGCTAAAGTGGGCAAAAATG